TAATTGGTAAGAAACGTTTTAACTCTTTTGGTGGAACTGGTCACTGATGAACTCAGTAACATGGTCAATTAAATTATACCCACGTATATCCTATGCTTGTTTTCAGAGATGCTTCTGATTACCACCAACCCATATGACTTCCCCTTTGTGAGTCAAGGTGAGATCACTGTAGCCAGCATAGATGACCAGGAAGAGCTGATTGCCACAGATGTAAGTAACACACGAGAATTATTATGTGGAATACTAACTTTACTAGAGAAGATATTTACATTACTGATTCTTTTGACAGAGCGCCATTGACATATTGGGTTTCAGTGCTGAGGAAAAAACAGCCATTTACAAGCTGACAGGGGCAGTCATGCATTATGGGAACCTGAAATTCAAGCAGAAGCAGCGTGAAGAGCAGGCAGAGCCAGATGGCACAGAAGGTATTAGCAAAATCTGTATCTAAACTCTCAAGCAATAACTCAGGACCAGATTTACAGATATGTTCTGGATGTTTCATGCAACTCTGGCATTGCAAATCCAACATTAATTTTGCTTAAGCAGATAATTCAGTTGAGTTCTGACCTGCTTTGCATCACTGGAACAGCACGTAACAGCCAGAGTTTGCTAGTGAATCTGTCCCTATGGCTGCTACTATATTAGGGCAGGTCTTCACTATGGGGGGGGGGTCGATTTAAGATACGCAAATTCAGCTACGCGAATAGCGTAGCTGAATTCGAAGTATCGGAGCCGACTTACCCCGCTGTGAGGACGGCGGCAAAATCGACCTCCATGGCTCCCAGTCGATGGCGCTTATTCCCACCTCCGCTGGTGGAGTAAGAGCGTCGATTCGGGGATTGATTGTCGCGTCCCCACGAGACGCGATAATTCGATCCCCGAGACATCGATTTCTACCCGCCGATTCAGGCGGGTAGTGTAGACCTAACCTTAGACACTGATTTGCCACTCTGTCATCAGTTTTACATTGATGTAAGTCCACTAATGTCAATGGTGTTGCACTGGTGTAAAGCTAAAGTAATGCAGTGAAGAATCTTCCAAAGTCTCCTCCAACAGTGATGAAGAAACAGAGAAGCAAAGGGCCTAATTTTACATGGCCTGGCACCTAGTCCCTGACTAGTACCGCTTATTTAGTCTGCAGAAGAGGAGAGTGAGGGGGGATTTGATAGCAGCCTTCAACTACCTGAAGCAGGGTTCCAAAGAGGATGGAGCTAGGCTGTTCTCAGTGGTGGCAGATGACAGAACAAGGAGCAATGGTCTCAAGTTGCAGTGGGGGAGGTCTAGGTTGAATATTAGGAAAAACTATTTCACTAGGAGGGTGGTGAAGCACTGGAATGGGTTACCTAGGGAGATGGTGGAGTCTCCATCCTTAGAGGTTTTTAAGGCCCGGTTTGACAAAGCCCTGGCTGTGATGATTTAGTTGGGGATGGTCCTGCTTTAAGCAGGAGGTTGGACTAGATGACCTCCTGAGGTCTCTTCCAACCCTAATCTTCTATGATTCTATGATTATGCCTTGCAAAGTGTGTATAAAACATTGCTTCCAGGATATGTGAGCAGATAGTTCTGAACCAGCAGGGTGTCACATCCAATTTGCATTCACTTTGTACGAGGTGGCAGGCAGTGGAGAATGAGGCCCTTAGGCACGGACTCTGAGCTTCATTTGGGCTGAGCCTGGCAGATCTCAGGAAGGGCAAGGGTGGCAGTGCACCACCTCTGCAGTCCCTGGGATTCTGCAGCTTGCTGGGGCCAACCCTGCTGACTAACATAAGCTGGTATGGCCAGAGAGCTGCTGTAATGTATGCTCAACTATACCAGCCCCCAAGGGCTGTTTTTTCAGCGGAGAATATCTACAATCCTGCAGCAGTCCTGCCATAATCCCTTTGTCGGGAGCACTGCTGGGACGCCCCATAGCTGATGGGCTGCAAGGGGAGCACTGAAGAGCTGTTCCAGCTGCTTTACACCTTCCAAGGAAGTCCCTTATGCTGAGGATGTTTCCCAGTGCTTGAAACTGTCTGGTTTATGGCATTTTATTTCAGTAGAGGTGGTGTAAAGGCACAGCAGCTGAGGTCAGAATTGGGGCCCTAGGGTTTGACATCCTTCCGTTAGATAAAAAGTGAGAGGTCTGTGCTCTGCCCAGGATTCTGATCTTCCTCTCTCTAGGATGTATGTCTCTGGAAGGGAATGTAGGAGTGGTTCTATAAATAGACATTATTTCAAGGTCAGTTGATCACTTTGTCAAAAGCTAACTGCTCTTTACAGAGTGAAAACGCTTCACTTTCTTGAGACGATTAGGATCTAAGGGCAAATGCAAACAGAACTAAAGAAAACAGTTGTAAGGAAACATGACCATTATAGACCTGGTCATGATATATTCAATAATGGCATTACATGCTGTTATTAATAATAAAATCATTTAAGTAATTTCAGCCAATGCTGGAGGCCGTAGGAGCTGTGGGAACTGAAGTCAACGGAATTGCACAGGTTTAGGTCAGGACAGTGTTCGGCCATTAGCCTGTTTGCTTCTGATCATTCAGAAATCAGGATCCCTAGACAAGCTGCACAGTAAAGTGGCAAAGAAAGAACTTCAAAGCCATCTTTTCATTCTGTCTGTTCATCTGCTTCTTTCTCCTTAAAAATTGTTTTTATTTAGCCCTTATGAGGTATTTGTGAACAAATTCTTACAATCACTTGATGTACAGACCCTCTCAATCAAATGCAAAACAATTAATCAAGAAATCAAGAAATAAAGGAAGCTCCAAATTCCATAATTACTGGAGTTATTAATCGATGTGGTAGCTGGTAAAACAAAAACAGATCTCATTACTCTTTTCTAGTCATTATAAAAGACACCAAAGCCTATCTTTGAGCTACTAATTCATTCCTTTCCTTGTTTAGTGGCTGACAAAGCAGCCTACCTGATGAATCTGAACTCAGCTGACCTGCTCAAAGCCTTGTGTTACCCCCGAGTCAAGGTTGGGAATGAATATGTGACCAAAGGTCAAACCGTGCAGCAGGTAACAATTGGTGATCTAGAACTCCTGGTTTGAATTAAAACACCCGGGTTTCTTCCTCTGCTTTGTATGGTAACTCCAGTCCCTCTCCCACTGGTTAGGTGCACAATTCGGTGGGTGCTCTGGCAAAGGCGGTCTATGAGAAGATGTTCCTGTGGATGGTTGTTCGTATCAACCAGCAGCTGGATACCAAGCAGCCCAGACAGTACTTCATTGGTGTCCTGGACATTGCTGGCTTTGAGATCTTTGATGTAAGGAGCAGGGATTTGACAGGAGGTTCCTGGAAGGGACACTCGGGGGTTCTGAGAAATTTGAGGGTTTTTTTAACATTATATATTTTGTATTTAAATAATTTCCTGGAAAAGCCTGACTTTTCTGCAGAAACAGTCTTGATCTTGATCTTCCACTAAGGCACCACGAGCCTCTAATGAGTCCATTTTTGGATAGATTTGTGTGGTGCATGTAGAAATGACAACTGCATTGAAAGCGCCTTCAAGTTGTTAACAGGTGGTGCCTAATAGAAAAGAAATGATTGTGTACCTAACACAAATTATTGTAGGTGTTTATGGCACCTAGTGGGCAGCTCGCTAACTCCCAGGCAGGCTTGGGGCTTAGGGTTTGGAAATGTCTGGGTAGGCCAGAGGGCTGAGAGCTCAGAAGGAGTTGGCCAGGCTCAGACCCAAATGCCTGGTCAAGGATCAGGGACAAGAGTTGAGAAATGCCTGAGTAGGCTTGGGTCCCAGAGCACAGAAATACCTGGACAAGCCTGGGCCTGACACTGCAGAAATGTTTTGGCAGAGCTGAGAATAGAACTCCCAAAACATCTGGCTGGCTCTAGGGATAAGAATTCAGAAAGTGTCCCAGGATTTGCTGCACAATAGTAGCATTGTTCTTCAAACTTTAGCTTTTTCACATATACATTGAAAGTAATCAGTTTCATTGCATTTTTGTAGTACAACAGCCTGGAGCAGCTGTGCATCAACTTCACCAATGAGAAACTGCAACAGTTTTTCAACCACCACATGTTCGTGCTGGAGCAGGAGGAGTACAAGAAGGAAGGAATTGAATGGACATTCATTGACTTTGGGATGGACCTGGCTGCCTGCATTGAGCTCATTGAGAAGGTATCTTTTCAATTCAAATGCCTTATATGTTCAAGAATTCTTTAATTATTGTGGGTTGCATTGAATTTTAGATGGATTTTCCATGCTCCGGGCCATAAATATCTTGACCCATAATGTTCTAATTTTTTGCTCTGAAACATTAAGAAGACCACACATAGCTTTATGACAACAGTCCTGCACCCTCTTCTTTCCAAGAGTGGAAAGATGGCATTGTTTACCTTTAGCAGGATTCTTTTCAGAATCCTGGACGCAGATTTAATTTTAAAGCATACCAGAAAGCCCCACTATCACAACTCAAAGAGATAGTATCCTGGAAGTTAAATTTTTCTACTTTTTGTCAATAGTATACATCATTCTTCTCAGGAAAAACAGAAGTAATTCCTGAAAAAGATGTAAATTTTTCTGTCTTGATGTGATTATTGTACACATAGCAGGAACTTTATGCCAATGTTATGTGATTAAAGGTCTGCGTGTTGTTGTCAATAGGACAGCTAACCTGCTGGGAACTCAATTTTCACACTGAAATAGATACTGATTATTTTGTTGTCTTTCTTCACGGATACTGTAACCATTTTTGACAAGCTAAATGTTTGTAATGCACATGAATTATTAATCATTATTATTATTTGTAGTGCAGGAGCTCCCAGGTCACTAACTGGGATCCTATTGTGCTAGGTACCGTATACCTTATATACATAAGATGACAATCAGTCTGGGCCAATATAGATGCTCTTTCATTTCTATGGCCTCCTTGGATGTGAAGATGAGGATTTTGTCCGTGTTTCCACTTTTTTGTAGAATTCCTTTTGATTTTCAGGTTGTTAAAGAACCATATTAACCTCTTACTATTCTTCCTGTCTTTCCTTTGCATTGGGATAGTTTACAGTTGTGCCTTTACGTTGTCTCCTTGAGAAACTGCCAGCTCTCCTGAGCTCCTTTATCCCTTAGATTTTCTTCCCATGGGACCTCCCCTGCCACTTCTCTGAGTCTCTTAAAGTCTGTTTTGCTGAAGTCCATTGTCCTTATTCTGCTGCTCTCACTCCTTCCTTTCCTTAGAATCATGAAATCTGTCATCTCAAGATCACCGTTACCCAAATGGCCTTCCACCTTCAGATTCACTACCAATTCTTCCCTGTTGGCCAGAATCAAGTCTAAAATGGCTGTCCCTGTGGTTACTTCCTCCACTTTCTAGAAGCAAAAGTTGTACGCAGCACATTCCTAGAACTTACTGGACATTTTATGTTTTGCAGTATTACTTTCCTAACAGATGGCTGGGGAGTTAAAATCTCCCATTACTACCAGGTCTTGTGTTTTGGTTATTTCTGTTTTTTGTTCTAGAAGTGCCTCGTTCACCTAATCTTCCTGATTGAGTGGTCTATAGTAGACCCCATACCATGACATCATCCCTATTTTTACCCCTTTTGTTTTTAACCAGACACTCTCTATTGGTCTGCCTCCCACCTACTTCTGGACCTCAGGACAAATGGATATATTCTTGTCAGCACCTTCTCCCTTTTCCCCCTGCCTGTCCTTCCTGAACAAGCTGTACCCCTCTGTACCAATATTCCAGTCAGGAGACTTATCTCTCCAAGCCTCTGTGATTCCAATTCAGTTATAAATTAGTTATTTTATTTTTCACATCCTTTCTAGCATAAATAAAATTAATTTTCATGTGCCATTAATGTATCTAGGGTTGATTGAAAAATATCAAATGAATAATGTATTCAGCAAATGTTCATTTTTCAAATGAATCATTTGATGATTTTAAAAAAAATTCTTCACTCAGTGCTATATGTTACATGCAAAGCTGAAAATATGTCAGTATTCAGTTGGTTTAATTTTGCTTTGTCCATGGCAGTTTCAGTGAATTAAAGTTCATAGATTCCAAGGCCAGAAGGGACCATTGTGATGATCTGGTCTGACCTTCTGTGTAACACAGGCCAGAGAACTGCCCCCAAATGATTCCTAGAGCAGATTGTTTAGAAAAATATCCAATCTCGATTTAAAAATTATCCCTGCTGGAGAATTCACCACGACCCTTGGTAAATTGTTCCAATGGTTAATTACCCTCTCTCTTAAAAAATTACACCTTATTTCCACTCTGAATTTGTCTAGCTTCAAATTCCAGCCATTTCATAGTGTTATACCTTTCTTTGCTAGACTGAAGAGCCCATTCTTAAATATTTGTTTCCGATGTGGATACCTATAGACTGTAATCACATCACTCCTCACCTTCTCATTGTTAAATAAATTAACCTCCTTGAGTCTATCACTGTAAGGCAGGTTTTCTAATCCTTTAATCATTCTCATGGCTCCTCTCTGAACCCTCTCCAATTCATCAACATCCTTCTTGAATTGTGGGCACCAGAACTGGGTGCAGTATTCCAGCAGCGGTTCTAAGCAATCTCTGGGCAGTTCTGCCAAATACAGAGGTAAAATAACCTCTACTACTACTCAAGATTCCCCTGTTTATGCATCCCAGGATCACATTAGCCCTTTTGACTGCACTGGGAGCTCATGTTCAACTGATTATCCACCATGGCCCCCAAATCTTTTTCAGAGTCGCTGCTTCCCGCGATAGAGTCCTCCATCCAGTAAGTGTGGCCCACATTCTTTGTTCCTAGATGGATACATTTACATTTAGCCATATTAAAATGCATAGTGTTTGCTTGAGCCCAGCTTACCAAGTGGTCCAGATCACTTGGTGTCAGTGACCTGTCATCTTCATTATATACCATTCCCTCAATTTTTGTGTCACCTGCAAACTTTATCAGTGATGCCTTTATGGTTTCTTTCGGGTCATTGATAAAAATGTTAAATAGTGTTGGGCCAAGAACCAATCCCTGTGGGTTCCCATTAGAAACATACCCATTCAATGATGATTCTCCATGTACATTTAGATTTTGAGACTTATCAGGTTAGCCAGCTTTTAATCCACTTAATGTGTGCCATGTGAATTTTATATCTTTCTAGTTTTGTAATCAAAATGTCATGAGTACAAAACCAAATGCCTTACAGAAATGTAAGTATATTACATCAACACTATTACTTGTCCTCTACAGCACTAGTAATATCCTCTTTTTAACTAGACCAAGAGATGGTCACATTGTTGCATCCAGAAAATCCTCATGTAATCTCTCTCTCTCTTCTCCTATCCCCCTTCTTATCTGTTGCTGTGTCTTTCAGCCAATGGGTATTTTCTCCATCCTGGAAGAGGAGTGCATGTTCCCCAAGGCGACTGATGCATCTTTCAAGAACAAGCTCTATGACCAGCATCTTGGCAA